AAAAAATTAAATATAAAGACGTAAGTATATAAATGCAAATAAATTAAAAAAATAAAAAACAATTATATAAAAAAAATATTATATAAACTATAAAAATATATTTAAAAAATATAAACATGCATAAACATAAAACTAATACATATGTAAATTATAAATATATAAACATACATATATATTTATGTTATTGTAGCAAATATTTCTTTATTAGAGTTTCCTTAAGGAAAATTCCTTTTGTATCGCATGCATGTAAATATTGCATGCACATAGTTAAGCTCTTATTATGTTACTTGAAAGCAAGTAAAATTCCAATTAGTGCATGTGCCGGCTACGGAGAGAGGTTGCTGCTTTAATTTGTTGCCATTTGGTGTTGATTGTATGCCAATTTGGCCGGTATTTAAATTAAACAACTCGTTAGTGGAAAATAAATTCCGTTTGCAATTTGCATACCTTTGCATACCCATACACACACACACACACACACACACTCACACACGCATATAGTCGCTGCATCTGGTGATGGGAGGAGCGCCAGCTGGACCGGCGGGCACGGGCAAAACGGAAACAACGAAAGACCTCGGCCGTGCACTGGGCGTAATGGTTTATGTCTTCAACTGTTCGGAGCAAATGGACTACAAATCTTGCGGCAACATTTACAAAGGTCTGGCCCAGACCGGCGCATGGGGCTGCTTTGACGAGTTCAATCGCATCTGCGTGGAGGTGCTCTCCGTGGTGGCCGTTCAAGTGAAGACTATACAGGAGGCGATAAGGGTGCGGCCGCAATGTCTGGGATACGTGAAGCGTTCGCAAATTGATTTTACCTTCCACTTCTTTGCAATGCTGCACATTGATTACATTTCGCTTGGTTCCTGGAAACGGACGTCGGTGGGTGTTACCTCTGTCCATGATGCTGGTGCTGCTCCTGCTCCTCCTGCTCCTGCTGCTGCTGCTCCTGCTACTGTTTACAGATGCATAAAACCCAATTTATCTTTATGGGCGAGCGCATCTCGCTGGAGCCGTCGGTTGGCATTTTTATCACCATGAATCCCGGCTACGCTGGCCGCACCGAGCTGCCGGAAAACCTGAAAACATTGTTTCGCCCATGCGCCATGATTGTGCCGGACTTTGCTTTGATTTGTGAGATTATGTTAATGGCCGAGGGCTTCCAGGATGCACGTCTGCTGGCACGCAAATTTATCACACTGTACACGCTGTGCAAGGAGCTGCTGTCCAAGCAGGATCACTACGACTGGGGACTGCGCGCCATCAAATCGGTGCTGGTTGTTGCCGGCACATTGAAGCGCGATGACCACAGCCGGCCAGAGGATCAGGTGCTAATGCGCGCCCTGCGTGACTTCAACATACCCAAGATAGTCACCGAGGATGTGTCCATATTTATGGGCCTGATAGGCGACCTCTTCCCCGCACTCGATGTGCCACGCAAGCGCGTGTTCGAGTTCGAGAAGACCATTCGCCGTGCGGTCAATGAAATTAAGCTGCAGCCCGAGGAGGGCTTCCTCATGAAGGTGGTGCAGCTGCAGGAGCTGCTCGATGTGCGCCACTCGGTGTTCATTGTGGGCGATGCTGGCACCGGCAAGACCAAAATCTGGCAAACTCTGCGCGAAACGTATCGCATACAGAAACTGAAGCCAGTCTGCCATGTGCTCAATCCCAAGGCGCTGTCCAACGACGAGCTGTTCGGCATCGTGAATCCCACCACACGCGAGTGGAAGGACGGCCTCTTCTCCTCAATAATGCGAGAGCAGGCCAATATGCCACCGGGCAACCCCAAGTGGATCGTGCTCGACGGCGACATCGATCCAATGTGGATCGAGAGCCTCAACACGCTGATGGACGACAACAAGATCCTGACGCTGGCCAGCAACGAGCGCATATCGCTGAGGCGTGAGATGCGTCTACTGTTCGAGGTGGGCCACCTCAAGGCGGCCACACCGGCCACAGTCTCCAGGGCAGGCATCTTGTATATCAATCCGCAGGACTTGGGCTGGTCACCGTAAGTACTCATTGCTTTTATTTGGATTTCTATTCCCTGAAACCTTTGAATATAGTAAAGTGTTGTTAAAATAGGTGAAAGTAGTAGAAAACAGGCGAAAGAAGGCGTGGCAGATCTCATGAAGCATTCTGCCAGTCTGCATTTCCAACCGTCTTCA